ATCCAATTAGGTAACTATATAGTAGTCATAAACATGACTACTCTACTCAATTTAAATGTAAGTTTTGGTACCCAACACTTAGATGCTAGATATACTTGTTTACTATGTATTTAGTATATCGTAGGTTCTATTATTATCTTTAGTGTATTACAGTTTCTTATTTATAGACTTTCAGTTAGCAATTATCATAGTAATAATACAGCTATAGTATATACACATGTATATACTCATTAACATTAGATCAATAAGTATTTTAATACATTAATGTATTAAACCATAAAATTAAACATTTTAAATGGAGCCAAATTTATCTAAAAAAGTTAAATTGATATTTTTCTATAATTTGTCATACCATTTTTAGTCAATAACCAATTCTTGGTTATACAAGAGAATCTAGTTAAAATAAATTGTCTACTGAATTCTGTTATATTGACTGTGATCTATTGAAAATAATAGTATATATGTATATGTAGTACGTATTATGTACCTACGTATTAATTTTAAGTACAAAAAAAAATACATTTATGGTCATAATATTCAGTTGACTGAATAGAATTGTTTAATCATATTAAAATATCAACATTTAGCCTTCAAAAATTGTATGTAAAAAAAAAAAAACTTTATCATATATTATCTGATCATTTTAATCCCAAAAAAGTAACAAAACATTAATAATATGAAAGTCATATATTTATTTTATTATTGCTGTTTATTGACGTTATAATATAATGAAAACTATTCTAAAATTTGTTTATTGTTTTCAGAAAAAAAATGCAACAAAAATTAAATTGCTTGTTATTATTTATTTTTTATCGTAACGTTATCATCACGTATATGTCAACCATATTTTTTTGTTTGATAATTTTAACAATAACCAAAAGATTAAAATTATTTAAAGATTAAAGTATAGATAAAGTACTTATATTTGTGTTTCAGAAACATGCTTATTACAAAATTTATGATTCTAACGAATATAAATTTAAAAAAAAACCAAACTAATTTAAAAGGTTTAATAAAAATGCCCCCTTTTTTAATTAATATAATATATATATATAGGCTTTTTAATCTCTAATTTAATAATTGTTTATACCCATAAAGAACTGATTTTGATTTATTAAAGAATTGAATCAGATATTATTTATGTTTTTTTTAAATGTTACGGAATCAATGAAACCTTAAATAAATCCCTTAGCAAATTACTAATTTACCAAAATCTTGAAACATTTTTTTATTTAATAATAACCTATCAAATTTTCCAAGCATTTGGAAAAACTCAGTAGTTATTTAAATTCTTCAACTCAATAAATCACTAGAAGATCCTGCCTCGTATAGATCTAGAAGATTTTTCCCTATATTTTCTAAAATTCTATAAAAAAAGCTCCTTCCTTTTGCTTTCGTTAACAGCATAATATATTAATATAACACATCAAATTTAGTTTTAGATCAAACTATTCGACTATGCATTAGCTGCATAAGACTGTTGTATACTATATCCCGTTTCTTAGAAAAGAAGAATTCTATACAACAGTATTTCTAGACATCTCCCAAGTCTTCGATTAAGTTTGACATGATGGACTATTATACAAACTTAAAAAATTCCAATCAAAGTCCTAATTTAATTCTACCTGACAAACTGCTCTTTTACCTCCGTCTAACGCTCTAAACACCTTACTTACTTAACTTGTTATACAATTAAACAGGAGTCTCTTACAGAAGCAACATTGTCCCTTTCTTTTACAAGTCAATAATTTGACTACTCTGGATGACTGGACATACGGTATTCAACTATAAGCCTTCTAATACTAAAGCACTTCAGACCTATCAATCCATCAGTTTACGACTAATAACGACCTCTCCTTATTGGTATTTTACAAACAAATAGTTCCATAAATACCTAAAAATATCTACTCTTAATGAATTAACTAAATTTTATTAGGTACTTTAAATTTTAATCTAACCTGAACTCGTACAGTAACACTTATTAATCAAACTATACTATCCCCCATAAACTCAAAAAATAATGGCCAAGAAACCTATTAAGATAAAAAAAAAAACAACAACACTATAATATCAAAAAAGTTACAGGTTGGGTGACACTGTTAAGTTTTTGCCTATTAATGATAAACTCCTGTCATTTATCAGCCAATATTTATGATCAAATTTACTAATTAAAGTATTATAATCGTATCCGATCTGTATAGATTGTAAATCGTTTAAATAAAATAAGTAATAGTACATACAAAAAATAACAGATTACATAGATATTTGAAAATTTGAAAATCCATTATTGAATGCATGAGATTTATTATATTATATATTTATATACGATTCACAATCACATCTCATAAAAGACAAGAATAGGTATAGTATAAAATATTATATAAATCATTATCATTGGTATAAAGACAATTTTTTGATATTGGTTCTAACTATGATAAATAATAGAATGTTTATATAACCGAATCTCAAAACATAAAATATATATTGACATAAAATAAAATGTAAAATATAATCATTAAGTTAAAATATCTCGAGTATCTAAATTGTTATTTTTTATGATTTAGATGATTTAAAATTTTAATCTTACGTCATACCCTAGACTTAAATAGGCACAATATCTCTTCATAAAAAAAAAGTTGACCAAATTATTGTATATTTTTTGAATAACTATTTAAAAATGAATATAAATTGTGTTCAGTGATTAGGTAAAATATTTTTTTTTCACATTGCGTGGTTAAAAAATAAAAATATTTTTTGTATATTTATTAATTAGGAAGAAGAAAGTAAGCATTTGTACTTTGAATTTTTGAAGCTAAAATATATTGTAAAACACTGAAAAAAATTGTGAAAGACAACTTTAAAATCTAAGACTTCATATATAAAATGTATGTGATAAACAGCTTCTACTGTTTCAAGTTTATTTAAGTCGGTGTCATATTTCTTAAAAATGTTTTAGAATAAAATTTAAAATTGTTTATAAAAATTAATGTTTTTTTTTCCAAACATTGACAAAAAATCTAAATTTTTACGCACATTTTTATCAGAATTAAACATATTTATTAATACGTACTTGTAACAATAGAAATTAAGTTTAATAGTAAATGAAAATTTAAATACAATCATGAAATACCTACGAATTATCTTAAATTACGAATATTCAGTAATAATTATAATAATAAATAATAATATAATACTGAAACTATAATTAAACTCACATAACATATGTCATTATAAAAACCAAGACATTAAAATATTTTTGGGAGTCTATTTGGTATATAAAAATCGGCGGTCGTCATTATCGCACATTAACCGTTCATAACCACATATTTTACACCCTTCAATACTGCACATAGGTATTTATTTTATTGTTAAAAAAGTAAATTTGAAAGATTGATAGTTCAAAACCACCCTCATTTGATTGACAGTTAAAAATTAAGGATGTTTTATTATAAAAAAATAATTTAGTATAAATTAAAAATAATTTTATTTATAATTAAATTGAAATAAATTTACACCCTAATGTTTTTAAATAATCAATTAAATTTATTTCCTTGGTCATGAAATGATTATATAAATTTAAAATATATTTTTCTTTTCTCATACATACTTTATGTGTACGATTTACGTTGTCGTTTCGTATGAGTCTAAATTTGGTTTCAGACTTTTTGATCTTGATTAAAATAAATATAGTGTGTGGTACTAAAATGATAAAGTTATTTTAGATAAATATATATGTTATTGAAATATATTGATGTGTGCGGTATTGAACGATTTAATTTGGGGAAATTATGCGGGATTAAAATATAAAAGTGTGTAGTTTTGAACGACGCCCGTAAAAATACGAACTTATTTAGAATGTGCCGACATTTTTAATATCACTGAATAATTACTCTTACCTTAAGTTTGGAATCTTGGTAGATAACTTTTGTTTCAAAAAATCACTAATTACTACTCCACATTAAATTACTGATGACGTATTATTATTTACTAAAATGAATTCAAACAATGATAATACTGCTGCCACTTATTATATACAATAACTATTTCTTTAGGGTTCATCAGTTAAGTCTCATATAGAGTACATAATAATAATAAATTTTATAATGAAGCATTTAATTATTTAACCTCATTGTGATATAATAACAATAAGAATAATGTAGTAGAGATGTATATATTATACAAAGGAGGTCAAAATATCTACCTCTACCTAAGTATAAAGAATTAATTATTGTTTCGGTCTCTCTCTAAAGTGTACCTATATAAACCCTAATATCACCATTGCTAGGCCAGGTGGCTAATTACGGTATGGAACGATGAAAATAAATTATCATTGCTAATTGTCAAGCTACTTAATAATTAAATAATATCGACACATATATGATTTCTACATAAAAGTCTCATCAAAAAAAAGAAAAAATACAAAACTGTTTTTGGTGGACTATAATCATAGAAAAAATGTCATTTTATTCTCACGGTTATTATTTTTGATTTTTCAGATCCCTCGTATTTCGTTAAATCCATGTTATCAACTGACCCACAAAAAACAATACCTATTTCTACTATTCCGCGTTTTTACATTATTTACGACGAACGTATGAATAAAAATCTTGATCGTCATGTGGAATATAACGAACACGTAAAAAACCTTTTGTATTTTACATCATTAAGTTCATTGAGACGTAGTCGTCGTAACGCCGACTGCTCGCCGTCGCATTTTCTATATTTTATAATTTATTAATTCATATACCTATTCAAATAATTCTGACCGACGGGCAACGCCGACCTTTGTCATTGACATTGTATTTATTTCGGGCGGTAATCAAGAAAAATGGCGCCGACGAACGGGATGTTTTTTGAAAATACCGCGATGAAATTACCGCATTTACTGCGACGGGTCGTGTAGATGGCATAGTGGTCGCCCGCCGCTCCGGCGACGTCGATAGTGGCGTCTCCGTCGGTCAGCAGTCGTGAGAAGCCGGGAAACGGACGAATCAGGCAACCAGCTGAACCAGCATCGGCCAGCGGTTGATTTTATAATACAGTTACTACTTAATACTTATTACGCTCACTGCTGACGCTCGCGCCACATACCATTTAGTGGCATTTACCTGAAATGTTGGTCGTGGGCGCCGCGTGTTCGTTTGGTTGAGTGCGATTTCACTTCGTCGCAAATCATCAGCGTCCGTTGTTCGTCCGTTTTTATGGGAATAGTTTAGCCGCACGTAACCGGATATTGAAATTCGTCCTCGCTTATTACTATTATTATTATTATTTTTAATCGTTTTTCGTCCAATCGTTAAAAACATATTTAGCCGTTATCAATTTATCATCCGCGCGGTGTGGATTTTAATGCGTGATAGCGGTGAACAATAATAATAAAAAAGCAACACATTTTCGGGCGGGTCTGCGAGGCGCGAGTGCATCCTGTGATAAGAGATAAAGCGGTGTGAGTCTCAATCGCGGCCGGTTGTTGTTTCGTAACGTTATTGTTTAGGTTCCTAGTGACCAGTGTTAATTATAGAAATAATGCAATATATTTTTTCACCGTTTTTAGTACTTTTCTTTCCGTTTACACGCTGCTGTTGAACGGATGTTCGTTGTATAACAGTTACCGAAATTGTATTTATCTGGCCACTTGTATCTAGTTTAGTTAAACCGGTTTGAATGTGCGCTCATCGAATTTATTTTTTCAAAAGACCCAAGTGAAGTGAATCCAACAACGACGACGAATTCACCAATAACCTCGTTGCCGAATCGTCCTCGCCATACAACTATTGGTAATGGACGCGTGATCTATACGACTGTGTGCTCAGACATATACCCACGAGATAATGTCCACGACGCCGTTCGTGGTCAAGCACGATGGGAAGAAGCACAATATTGAACATTTTTTGCGCTTCCACCCGGGTGGCACCAACACATTGTCATTGCTGAAGAACGCCGATGTCACCGATCGGCTGTTGGCTACTCACCACTCTGCTGCTGCATACGAGTTGCTCAAGGATTATAGAGTAGACGAGGAAGATGTACACAAGCATATTCGAGAAGATGGAGATCTAGAAGTAAGTGATAAGTTTATCCACAAAATGTATTATTTTCCTACTTCTAGTATTGCATTTACAACCAAAAAAATTTCATAATATTTCTATTTGATGCATTAATAAACACAATGCCAATTAAATTCCAAAGTTAGGTTAAAAATCATAAGGTAAATAGGTACCTAATTTTAATAAATATATTTTGTTATATTCCCTATATAAATTATATATTAAATAAATTACATATGAGAGTTATAACAGATAGACATTATTCGTACAAGCAACTCTATTTTATGCATTGAATGCCAATAAATTAATTCTCTAAAGGTAAATCTATGAGCTTAAACTTAAAAAAATATCATATAAATGAAGTGAGATGGGTATTTATAGTGTGTACTTTTATATCATAGGTATTAATACTTAATAATGTTAGGCATTTATTTAAATTATTGAGTTTATTTTTTTTCTAATATTTCCTAATTACTTAGGTACTACAATTTATTTATTATCTTTAAATAAATTACATTTCTTAATCTTTTTAGGTAATAGTATAAAATACTGAAAATAAAGAGGCTTGTAGTTATAATAATTAAATAGATATGTATAAAACTTCTTAAACTTATAAATTACAAGCATTTGAGTAACATTATGTTTAATTCTGTTTTATAGTTAGTCCTTCATAATTTTATGTACCTACAGTTTTAAATTTTATACTCAAGTAGGTAGACCTATATATTTATCAAATTTAAATATTATTATAAGTATATAGTAAAAACTAAAGCTATGAAATTAAATCTAAAAAATGTTTATGTGCTCTATAAATTTAAAACAACATATTTATAAAATGCACTTCAAATATTTATTTTAAAATCATTTCTAAATCAAAAAATTCTTTAATTACATTTATAAATAAAATTTCCAGAGTTACTAAATTCCACATTTTTGACATTAAATTTAATTTTAGTGTTAAATGTCTTAAAAAAATTTTAAAATGCTCTAAAATAATGATCTTAAATCCAAAAATATACCTATATAAAAAATAAAAACACAAGATTTGGGTTGCTATCTTCAGAAAATAATGTACTTATCTAATATGTATCAAATACCTATTGTTATAAATTTTAGTAATTATTCATTGCATGCATGTTAAATCTGGTCAATAAATGTATTTTAGAATCTACTCAATACTTACTAATATTTAAAACAAATATATTTTAGTCAATTGTATGTAATGTAACAGTATACTATGATATCTATATTTCATAAAAGCTAAAAGTCTATACATTCTTGGCAACAACCAAAATACAATACAATATCATAGTTTGGATTGTTAGAATGTTAATAATAAAAAAATATTATATACCTACTTCAAAAATGTAAACATTTCAATTCTTATTTTAGTGAATATTTTAGTTAAAAATGTTGAATACATCTTTATGCAGAATGTAGATAGATAGTGACCTATAATCTTACTTATAATTATTCAATTTAGAATTTTATTATGTATGTACTCTTATGTAATACAGTTTGTATTTTTATTCTTAGTTTTATTTATCATTTAAAAATATAAAAATCAGATTAACATTATAAGTTATATTAAGTACCTAAGTTAGTAACTATATCATTAAGTTTGAGAATATAACACTTAAAATCAATTTTAATACAAAATGTTAAATTTATATATAGTTAGGTACCTCTTTTATCAGGTAGGTATTAATTATTTTTTTTTAGTATTAGTAAATTGCAGTTGCATTGGGGTTGATTGTAAATTAAACAGTTATTGTATCATTGAAAAAGTATACCTAATATTCCTCTGAATATAAATTTTCATCACACATCAATGAATTCAATATCTTGAAATTAAACTATATTAGGACACTATTTATAATAATCACAATAATATGTTAGAAAATAAGTAATTAAAATTAATAAGTTTCTTCAGTTTAAGTTGAGTTTAAAGGTTAATATGTATATATACTAAATTATTATTATTATTAACTGCTAATGTTTTAATGTTATGGTGCTTGATAATTGGTGGTATAAGTTAATTTTGAAAGTAATTATTTCTTTATGTGATATTCTTATTAAATTCCCTAAAAGTTCTATGTAACACCTTATAAATAAAACCATAGGTCCATAGATAATGTAGATAGACAATGCTTGTATAGGTACTAATTTTATGTCATGAAATTTACAAAAACATTTCAACTGCTATGAAATTAAAATTCATCGGCATTTAATTGATAAAATTGCCTTAGCTATTTGTGATACCTATTTTATTAATTAAACCAGTATGAAAATAAATAGATCGGTTTGTTTTGTCATTGATAATTTTTTATTAGTAATGTTTTATCTATAATATATTTTATTCATGGTTAAGTTTATAATATATTAAACTAGTCATTATACAGAAGTTTATATTTGGCTAAAGAGTGTTAAGTGCATTTGATTTAAAAAGTTATTAAAAATAAAAATACCAGAGAAAATACATTTATCTTAACTTGATAGATTAAAAAAAAAAAATTGAATTTTCAATAAATTCTATCATAAATTGTAATTAATTGTGTTAGGTATTGTGTTAAAATCTGGTTTGATATTAATTTATTAGAATCATAAAATCTAAATAAGACAAAATATCAATATTTTAAAATACTAAATACTTAACATAGTAATAATAATCATAAATTATAGTATGCATTCATCATTTTTTAATTGCCATAATAAATAATTATAACTTAGGTAATTTGTTATTTATTATAAAATTCCAAAAAAATGTAGATAGTACCTATTTTAGATTTTTTTTGATGATATACTTTAAAGGATTATTAATTTTAACTATTTTTAGAGAATAATTAAACAATTATTTTATACTCTAAAGAATGTTAAGTGTGTAATATATAATCTTAAAGTGAAGCAGATTATTTGTATAATCTATTTTTATGTTTGGTATTGAACTCTGACATTGAACTTAAATTATTAGAAAACATATTAGAAACAAAAGTCTATGGATAAATAAATCCTATAATATTTTAAATAAATCATTATTTTTATTAATAACATTTATAATATCTACTTTAAATACCTATTCATAATTTAGTTTAAATTAAAAAATAAAAAGTTTTTCAATCTAATCTGCTACTAAATTCTTTTAAACATAATTATTTTACAAGACATTAAAAAAATATTCATTATATTACATATCAGAGCAACTATACTCTTAGGAAAATAAACTCTTTAACTGTTAGAGCTGATTTGTGCATTCAACTTATGATTTAACTTTAGGTACAATTTAATGTAAATAACTTCTCTGATCAAAATCTTAACCTTAAATATTATGTATTCTTCTTATTTATGAACAATATTCTTTGAAAAATTTTATAACTATTCAATTTTGTGTCATTGTTAATCTTTTTATTTATCGAGCTATTTATGTAGTGTTGTAATATATGATTTACCTATTGGTTTATAATGTTATGTGACCTGAGATTTTGTAGATAATGTTATTCGTGCTGTATGTCATTGTAACTTTTGTTTTTGTTAGTATTTCTATTTTCTATTACATCCTATAAATGGACACTATATTCATGTTTAAGAAGTATGAGATGTAGAAAAATAAAACAATAAATCTCTCGAAGAATTTCATCATTCCTAAAACAGGTGTAATTTTTAGACAACAATATATATTTGGTCAGATTTTAAATTTAAAATATTAAAAATAATGGTATGAGACTTATCCATTGATGCTGCCATACTATCTTATAGAAACTTGGTATTAATCAGTAAGGAATTTAGAACATATACTTCTCAAATAATTATGAAATATTTTTTTTAAATTTACTCAGGTAAATTTATTTTATTATGTACATATTTAAAAAATGTTGTTATATTGTTACACGTCATTCTTTTTACACATTAAAACAATTAATACATCCTTATTCATTTATTTTTTATCATTGCATTTATTATAAATGTATACTATATATATATATATATATTGTACCCACATGTGATTGTTGGTATCCGTTAATGTAGAAGGTCATATACAACACAAATACTCAATAATATTCCTTTATGCTACCTATGTATCTATGTATCTTTAAATTGTATTTTTATTTTGTAAATAAAACTCAACGTTCCCGACAAAAAAAGCTTCCAGGAGGTGTATAACCATTTAAACATTTAATTAATTTACTTTTGAGTAGGTATATCTTATTAATTATAGTTATTAAAAATTATTATTAAATGTGTGTGTCATGATGTCACACTAAATTTATTACGATTGTCATATTATACTTAAATTAAATTTATTTTGTGTAATTAAAATTAGAAGTAAAATACATTTTCAAGCAGTATAAGTAATAGCCATTTGATATTTATCAATCATTCAACTTAAATTGGACTAAAGTTGATTTTTACCTAGGTATTCTAATATTCATTTTAACATTACACTTTACACAGATATATTTTTAAGTCAAGTCTCATCTATTTTTCTAAATTCTAAAGTAAAATAATAATTTATACAGCAAAAATAGTCAATAGAATCACATTCTTGCTCTATTCTAATAACCTATAAGTATGCCTCAGTAGTCATACAGTTTCATTTTTATATCTATGTTTTGTATTTTTAAATACATGTACACATGAGCCAATTATTTTATTTTATTTTAAACAACAAATGATGAGCAATAATTAAATTTTAATTTTAATGAATTCAAAATATATACGAGTACTCGTATAATGCACAATAGGTGATATACTTGATTTGTTCTAATATAATACAATTATGACGTGTTATTAATCCACCTTTAGTTTAGGTATAATATATATACTTTTTTATCGTGAAAATCACTCAAGTCTGACCAATAGAGTAAAGTTATCAAAAAAACGATAGCTTAACTTTATCGTAGTTTTGACACTCCATAATCCCCTATTCCTTCCATTCTTAAGTAATCCTTGTAGGAACTTGACAGCTTAGTAATAAATTGGAAGGGTTGAAAATTAAAACATGTGTGTCGTTTGCGTCT